TCACACACACACACACACACATGCACACACACTCACACACACAGCACACACACACACACATACACTCACACACAGCACACACACACACACACATGCACACACACACATACACACGCACACACACCATACACACGCACACACACACACACACAAACATACACAGAGAGAGAGAGAATGGACACGCACAAAAACACTTACACACACAAACATAACGCAGGCACTCAACATTGAAGCTCAGTTGACTATTTGTGGCTGCAGCTATAGACTAAAAAACGTGACTGCCACCCCGGAGCTCCGAGCGCAGCACGAGAACTGGAGCCGAGCAGACTACATCCTGTACCGCCACTTCAACACGTCTCTCTGGGAGAAAATCAACCGAGAAGGGAGAGACTTCTGGGCAGAGGTACGGGTTCTTTGATGCTTTTTTTATTTGGTTATTTTTTATATTATCAACAGAGATTCTTTATTGACACACACAAAAAGTACAGAGACTTTTGTACGGTCTTCTACAACTTAACTATAGATCTAACTAAGCTAAATACATGTGTGGATAACGTCATCGTATGTACAGAGTATATGTATGATTATTAGGCAACGCGTAATCGGTAAAGTTTCCTAGGATTTTAGCTAGTGTAGCACAAGTTTTACGGTACACTAAGCTGCGTATGCTAGTAAGACTGGATGCGGACTGCATAGTTTAAGCAACTTACACCTAAAACACCCTTGATGATAGGTGTGGTGGGCTCTTTAACGGTGCGACTCTCTAAAAACACGGGATCTACATCGATTTACGTCTGGAAGTCCCTAGCCAAAGCTATGTATTCTCGTTTGCACCGGTTGATACGGGTGAGGAAATTCGTGAAGTGCCTTTCCCAAATTGCAAAGGCACGATATCCGGACCTACTAGGGATTTTCACCTACATTACAGCTACAACAGCTAGATTTTTGTAATTAGATACACCCTACTAGTATATGTATTGTCTTGTATTAACCACATGGATCAATATTACTCACAAAAAGTTAGGCTGAATTTTCATTTTCTCGGTTTTGTATAGTAAAATACACATTAAGCATCAATTAATACATCAATTAATAACAATATTACATTATATTCTTTACAGGTACAGACTTTCAGGGACATGCACGAGCGGACGAGGAGGTTCTGTCACCCCAGGGAGCGGAGCGACAACCAGTCGGCGCGGCTGGAGTTTGGACCGACCCCGTGGAGCCGGCGGTTCCACGTCGACTACCAGTTCTGCCGGCTCCTCCGCTCCCGGTACGCGTGGATGAGAAATCGGGCTCACGTTCTACGCGAAAAGAGATTAAGTAGACTGCAAGGCAGAAGGGCGCCACAAAACGTAACCAAGGAAGTTTAAAATGGCCTCCTTGGCATAAAGTGAGGCTGACTGTAAGAGAGACAGACAGAGTGACACTGATTGTGAGGCAAGTGGAAAACAGCATGGCAAAAACGACACACTACAGGCTAAAGAATAAAGTCGAAGTCTACTACAAATATCTCCAAGATTAAGAGGGGTGTAAAACTTAACCCGGGACCACCGTACGGGTCGCCAGTATTACCCCGTAATCACAGTCCGGTCTCGTGCCATATGTCACCGGTCCTTTGTTTTACTGCTGCCACTGACGCACGCACACGCGCGCACACGCACACACACGCACACGCACGCACACACACACACACACACACACACACACACACACACACACACACACACACACACACACACACACACACACACACACACACACCGTGACACACACACACACACACACACACACACACACACACACACGCACACAAACGGGCGCGCTCGCTTGCTCGCCGTAAGCATAGACAGGCACGCTGAAGAGAGACAGACAGAGTGACACTGGTCGTGAGGCTAGTCGAAAACAACTTTGGGCGAAGTAATCTGCAAGAACTGCAAACTAGACAAAGGAATCCTGTTAAAGACTTTACTACAAAACGTCTTCAAGAGGCGTACAAAAACATCACCCGAAGCCGCCACGCATCTACTTGAGCACTAATCCCAGGGCGTAACATGTCGCCAGTATTACCCCGTAATCACAGTCGGGTCTCGTGCCATATGTCACCAGTCCTTTGTTTTACTGCTGCCACTGCCTGATAATGGATGGAGACGGCTTCAGGCCTTACCATCACATTCATACACACACACACACACACACACACACACACACACGATCCCATACACGTAGCTAGACACTGTAACTAAGAGAGACACACACAGAGTGACACTGATCGTGAGGCAAGTGGAAAACAGCATGGGGTGGATCAATTGGCAAGAACCGGACACACTACAAGCTAAAGAATAAAGTCACTCAAAGAGTCTACTGCAAAACGTCTTTAAGGGGCGTGCAAAACACAACCCGGGACCACCGTACATCTGCTTGACTAATCCCAGGGCGTAACATGTCGCCAGTATTACCCCGTAATCACAGTCGGGTCTCGTGCCATATGTCACCAGTCCTTTGTTTTACTGCTGCCATCGCCAGATAATGGATGGAGACGGCTTCTTCGGGCCTTACCATTACAAAGGGCAGCTGGCCGGTCACCTGCTTAAGAGATTGGCGTTCTGTCGTGCTGTGGGGTGCAATCTACATAAACGCTTCTAGTGATTACACAGAGGGGGGATGGGCTGTGTTTTCTATTGTTTTGGGTTATGGCGCGTGACCGAGGTTTAGGAATTAGTTAAGACGGCGGTTTGAAAATTTGTGGGCAGGCCCGGTGGTCGCGATCTAAGGCTAGGCAGTTCGAGACAATGGTTCTTCCAAGACACATATTTCATTCTTGTTTCGTAGCAAATGTATAGTTTTTTTTAATGTCGAATCCTAACATTGGTCACTTTGAAGCTTGGAAAGTCGAACATATCTTCAATGTCAGTTGACTTTTGGCATACAAGACTTAAGACTGATTTGTTCATCATCTGATGTAGAAGCAAATACTTTGTTGCACCATCGCTCAACAAATTCGAAAGAACGAATTATTTTACATTCTGTGTGTTTTGCTGTCTTTCAAATCCTACCTTTGCATCGTGCATGATATTCAAGTTATAAAATTAAGGGTCACAGAAAATCCAATGGTGATTGTCGTCTAGTGAAAAGGGGACATTACCAAACACGATGCCATATGAATTGAAAAATGACACATACGTAAGTGCAATTGACTTGTAGACTCTCTGACAAATTTATTGTGGACCCAAAAACAACTTTCCACAAGCATAACAACGAACGGTTGCAACTTCAATAGCAACGAGTGAATAAAAGTCACGGACAAGGGGAACAACAGAGGACCAGTGTTTGAGTTACACAATGCTCTTTTCGGTAAGCATTCTCTCGGCCCATTCTTTCAGGGCAAATAAACCGACAGCCCGGAAAATCTGGGTGATGAATAAGGATTAGGAGCGTTTTTGCATAATTGCCGCACGAGTCGGCCACGCGCCGGATAATACCGGCCTATCCTGCGGGGGGGCAGGCGATTCCAAAACCTCCTTACATTGTACTACATACACTAAAATGTAGAAAGCAAGTAACAGTTAATACGTATACGTGATGAGGCTGGGTATACTAGTAGGTAGACGGACCACGGTTTGCACGAACCTTAAGGAGTGTGATTTGTCGACGTTTTCGACGACTTTTTGAAGCCAGGTGACCGCGTGTTCTTGGCGTTAAGGTTTTAGATTGATATGGATGATCAGTTTTCCCAGTAGACCAATGTCCAGCTGCCGAGGCTAAACGGGTTATATTAAAGGGGGCAGCTGACGGTTCCGAGCACCAGTTCTGGCCGGACCGCTGGCATGGCAGGAACTCGAGCATTGCGCACGGCGCGGAAACTACTCCTAGCTGCCGCCCATCTTGTGGAGAAGCAGCGTTTGCTGCTACGGTTGACTCTTGCGATGGGCTGCACCCCAAAGAAACCTACTCCCAGCCCCAGCCAAGCCAGGAGGTTCAGCAAGAAGGTGAGAGAGTGGGCTGCTTTTTCGAAAAATTCGTCCGATTCGGTCGGCAGGAGGGATTCTACTAGTGACAGCGGGGCCAACAATAACAATGGGTCGGTGTCTGAGCGAAGTGGCCCCGACGGGAAGGCGACGGGCGTACCCTGCTGCAGAGTTGTGCCGTTTAAAGAGAGCAGGGACGTCGCGAGGTGTAGTGTGAGCGAGGAAGACCTGCACAGAGGGCAGACGATAGGGAACGGGGGGTTCGGGACGGTGTACGAGGGCAGGTACGGGGGAAAGCGCGTCGCGGTGAAGGTGCTGGACCGATGCAGGCACAACCTTCCGGCGGCCGTGCAGAGCTTCAAGGCCGAGCTGTGCGTGTTGGACCTGCGGCACCCGAACATTGTACGGACCCTCGCAGTGAGCTCGTCCACCTTAAAAGACAACACCTTCATAGTGATGGAACACGCAGGTGAGAAGAATCTCCAACAGGTGATCTCGGACCCCGAGGAACCCTTATACATCCGAAGACGTCTCCGATTCGCCTTGGACATTTCCAAAGCCTTGGACTACTCTCACAAGCACAACATCGCGCACTTGGACTTGAAGCCGGCCAACGTGATGGTCACCAGGGAGGATCGCTGCAAGCTCGGGGACTTCGGGTGCTGCCAAGTTGTTGACGGGGAGACGGGGAGGGTGAGCCCGACGGAGCGCTCGCACCTCACCGGTACCTTCGCTTACCGCGCGCCCGAGCTCATGCGGGGTGAACCGCCGACCACCCGCGCGGACATATACTCCTACGGGATCACACTCTGGCAGATGCGGGCACGAGAACACCCCTACACGGGCGAAAACCCTCACGTCGTGATCTTTGGCGTCGTGGCCAACAACGTCCGACCAGCATTTCCAGAAAAGGACTGCGATGAAGACGCGTCGGTTCTGGAAGGTTGGTACAGAAGACACGCGTCCCGGTGTTGGAACGCACAACCGACTCACAGACCCTCGGCAGCAGAAGTTGTAGAAGTTCTGGAAGAGAAACTCTATGCACTCAGAACTGACAGAAATGAGAGCATTTCGTGCTGACCGAAATGGTGGCATGTCTCGAAGCGCTATGTTTTGTATTGAACTTTGTGATCAGAGTATATTTTGATATGACGTATCTATACATGTTGCTGCTTGTACAATTGATGTTTTGGTTACTGTACTGAAAGAGACGGTATGCGGGTATACCAGGTTTTCTAAGAGTACTGGAGTAAATAATTTGCGAGTGCGAGTTTTGTACTGAAAGTGTATTTTGTTATTACTAGTGTGCAAATGAATGTTACTGTGGCGTTACATGTTACTGTAACTGGAAACGGCGATACGGGTTCATAAATATGACATATTTTCTTCGATTTACATACTAGTACTAGGTGTTAAGTTTTCAATGATTAGATACCATAGTACTTAGTTATCAATTGATAAAGTAAACTTACGGTGAAAACTACAGAACAGCAAATAACAGAAATTAGCATATATCAGATTTAATATGGCAAGTTTGAAAAAACATTCAGATGTATCCAACCACGTTTTAAATTCCTAGAAATGGTTGGTTTTATTTCAGAACTCTGCTTGTGCTGCTATTAATATGGGCTAGATGCTTAACACGTCTTTCATGTTATACAAATATTTTGATAAGGAAGTCTTGTTACAATAAAGTGTTGAAAATGCACTCAGTCGTTGCAGTGTCCTTTCTACTGACGAAAGCTCTCCCGAATTTTTATTTGCCTAGACAATATCCATTTGCCAGGCAGCTGAAAAAAAAAAGATACTATTACAGTAAAGAAAGATTCATAAAAATGCCTAAAGACAGGTTAAAAATAAACTCAAAACCTAACCTTTTTGCATGCATATGGAGAGTAGCAAGTGTCGTGTTTCTGGGGCCTCATATTGTATAAACGGTTACTCTTCAAGCAGAGGTTTGGGTTTTGGCTTAATTTAGGCGTTTTTTTTAGGTTTTTTTATCGGGGTTTCTTTTTTGCACTGGAATTTATTTCTAAAACCCAGACCTCTGCTTGGAGAGTAACCGGGTGGATCAGTGTCTTGCCCATGTAATCTCCATCTGCTTGGAGATTACGGTATTCGGCCACGTACAACTCTTTCTACCACGAAACGACGTGGCGGTCTTTTAATACATCGTTTTGTGCCCGTCTATTATACATATAGTTCTGATCACACTTGTTAGGCCCCTCCCACCTGTTGCATCATTCAAATCCGGCCGGATTCGCAAAGTCGAGATTAAAAAATTGTGACAGGACCGCACACAGCTTTCAACAAATAGCCAGATCATTAAAGTTACCAGTGCATTTGAATAAAGAAATCACCTCAAAGAAAGCATTAAGGTTATTATAGTTAATTTTCTCAAAAATCTAGTTGTTGTTTGGTTGAAATGATCTTATTTTTCTGATTCTTTAGACGTATTTTGTTTCTGATCAGGCAGATTTCTGGTACGCTATGGGGACTTGGTTCCCTGGTCTACATCCGGGCACTGTAATTAAGTTGACGTGTCCTTTTGTAGTGGGCCGGTACGGTTCGAGACATCTCCAAAAACTCCCGCAGAAAAACTGGAATAACAACGTTAAAAAGGACGTTACGGTCCAAACATTCCTACTGTTTCAAAGGTAAGAAATCTGTTATTTTGTGGCATCACTGTTGTTTGGTTTCGTAGTTTATTTGTGGTATAAAAAGGTGATTTTTGTTACCGGTGTCTGTTGACTTGTGTGAAAATATGGCGGCCATCTTTGTTTTGATATAACGTTAACTACGCAAAAGTTGGCATATTTTTTTTTTTGTTTCCGTATGGTTTCATCTTGATTCACAACAACATAGCAGCATTGTTCTTTATTTTGTTTTCTCAACTTAGGACAGGAAACGTTAGTTTACGTCAGACTCTGTTTTGGCGGTTAGGGTAATTAATTTATCCTTATGTAACGCCCTTTTTTGCGACAGGTAGCCATAACATAAACAGATGTGTGTGTGGGGGGGGATTTTTGATACAAATTGTTTTTTTTTTTTTTATGTTTGATATTCCGTAAGTCTTAAGAAGATTTAGTTTGCAATAAATTTCATTCCTGGTTACTCTGCAGAGCTTTTGAAGTACCATCTTGCAATCTGCAAATGTTTACAAAATTATTAAATTTGCAGGAAAAACAAATTAAGAATTTTTTTTTGGAAGCTACAGGGAAAACTGCCAAAGACTGCTCACTTGCAAAGGTTGGAATGTACACAGAATTGAAGTATGCTGAGCCCAGTTTATTTTTATCAGTTCACAAAATATATATATATTGCTGTCCTAAATATCATAACTAACACAACTGTTGTCATCTAACCTAAGCTCTGAAGGAGAGATGCCACACAAAAATGAATGAGTCATCAAGTGATGTTTAAAAACATGATGCAACATTACAACAACCTGGATATGTTAACATATGGTAACTTTAACAGGCGTGCAGGATAATTTATTGAACTCATGTTGACATATCCTTCTCACAGCTTGTAACCACCAACATGCCCTTACACTACCTTTACTCTGGGAAAATATTGGAACAGCTTTTGTATTTGTCATGCACAGACATATTCAGTAGTAGTAGCATTTTTTTCAGTCCAGTCAACATTATGACATTCTAGTGTTTCTTGATTAACTTGTTTCTATTGAGTATTGTGTGTAACTTAAATTTTTGATAGTTGTTAGCTCCTAATGACATTGGCAAGCTTGCAGAGCTAGCTAGTTTTAAAGAAAGGTAGCTTGAAAAATTTATCTAAAGTATTCGTGACTAATAATTCATATCATAGTCACTTCACAGCGGTATGCAAATGTAAGACAGGTTGTAATACTCAACAGATGTATCTTCCCACAGACCCACACTCCCCGGAACTACCTCAATAGGAGGTTATTTACATGTAAATGTTTGTCTTCGATAACTCAATATCTTTCTGTGATGGAGCTATATAGAACTTACAGTTACTGGCTCTATCACTCAGGTTACATCTTTTTTCAAGCAAGAAGTGGTCCTTTGTTTCATTAACTGTGACCAAGTCTAATAAATTTGTATGTTAGATAGTGAAAGTTTGACTAGTATTAGTGACTAGTCAGCTCCTTTGTTAAATTTTTTAACTGTGACCTAGTCTAATACGAGCAATTGCCATGACGTCACAGTAGGCTAAAAGCGGGTGACGGTTGGTTGATTTGCCTACCGATAGTTTGCATACGTCTTCAAACAATTTGCATGTATATCATGTAAACAAAAACAGTGATCGCTTACTAGTATATAGATTTGTATGCTAGATAGGGAAAGTTTGACACATCTGCACCGTGAATGTTTCCAGTTGTTATTGGGAGTCCAGAGTTGCTCAACAGCCCAGTTGAGGATGGCAGAGGGAGGATGAGACCCATGAGAGTGTGTCTAACTGTTTATAGTAACAGCAATAACTATATAAAGAAAAGCCTGGTGAGCTAGATCCTGCCAGCTAGGTCCTAGTGTAATTTCTGTGCTTAAACAAGAATGATAAGATAGCAAAAGTTTGACACATCTGAATGTTTCCAGTTATTGGGAGTCAAGAGTTGCTCACCAGCACCAGTCCAGGATGGCAGAGGGAGGATGGGACCCGTGCGAGTGTGTGTGGAATCACTTCCACGCCATGGACCGCCTTCTGGAACTGGTAACCATGGAAACCAACATAGAACCTCGACAGGGGGTCCACTGACTGTTGGCTGAGACCGTACGATAGATTGAAATATTGGTGTACTTTTAAATTCATTTCTTATTTTCCAAAGGAAGAGAAGTTTAGGTCATTTATTGCCACTTAAAAATTACAAAATGTTTCAGTCTAAACTCTCAAGTCAATGCTACAAAAAAAATCAGTTATTTACAATTCAAGATCTTGCTTCAACTTAAATAGGAATCATATGCATGACTTAGAGCAGAATCTTTTCTTTCCAAGTAACCAGCTATTTGGACTATTGTAAATTTGCCAAGCAGCCTGTCAAACTTTTGTATTTAAATGCTGAATTGAACAGGAAAAGAAAGGAATGTTATATAGTTCACGGAATGTGTACTGTCTCAGCTTGTTATTCAGTGGGACTTTCTGTCACAGAACCACGTAGTGCAGTCTTTCATTCTGGTTTCATGAAACTATTTGTCACAAACGTTTTCCTTGTCCATCTATATTATGATTCTTTTAGTTCATTAATCCAGAATAAAGACTGTTCTGCTAAAGCATAACTTTGTTTAAAACTTAATTTCTTAAACTTAAAGTGTTCTTTGTCTCTCTCTCTCTCTCTCTGTCTTTTAGCCTTCTTCCTCCTTTGAAAACTTTTCTCATCAGACCTGTCAAAAGTTTCAAGGCTGCTGATTGGTTCCCAGCCCTCCTTGATTGATTGATTGACAGCTGTCAGTCATGGCGGAGGGTGGGTTCGATCCCTGCGAGTGTGTGTGTTCACACGAGTCAGTGATGAGCCGGCTCATAGCTCTGGTACTCAAGTTTTTGAGTGATTATTCTTAAATAAGGTGTAGGATTTCATTAACTTCATTAAGGTTTATTAGTAGGCGTACAATCTGAATTCTGATACATGTACAAAAAATGCCTTGCTGTCTTTTTGGCCGTGCCTTGGCCAAGCCTCTACCAGGCTTCAGAAGTGGCTGGAAAGAGTAGAAGTTGGTCAGATAGACAGATAACATGCCAGGGGAGTTACTAGTAGTCTATTTGGTCGATTTCTACTCTTTCCATCTGCTTCAGAAGCCTGGTAGAGTATACTATTCCTGTACCTGCTGCATTAACATAGTAACATTTTCAAATTTGCTGTAGACCTGACTTATGTTTTCTGGGACACTGAACTTCACTGAACTAATGCTTGTTGTTATTATTTATTTTCTTCCAGTTGAGAAATTCTCAGCAATACTGCACTGACAATGAGTGTGTCCAGGACCGTAAGTATCTGTTTTGTACAACTGTACTCATTTTCACATTATTCGAGTAAGGAAGTAGCAATATTGGGACTGAACCCAGAACCTCCAGATTCTGTGTCAACAAGCCTGGTGAATTTCATGTTTATGATATACCACAATCTTTCCCTCCAGCCCCTGGTCCTAACGGGACCCCAGAAGGCGATGCGGGGCTGACCCTGACGATGATGATGATTGCGTGGGTGGTGATCGCCCTGGTGCTGTACCTGCTCAGGCCCCAGAGCCTACGGGGACAGGGAGACCAGAAACCTGGAGCTGCTAACGATGTACGGGACTTTTTCTTTACAAAATCATAACTTGGATAAGCAAAGTTCTGTATTCACAACCACTTGTTTAACAAGAAGCTATGTTTCAATGACAGTGTCATCCATACAGAAAGTAAAAGACGATTTATTTGTATCCTCTGACAATACTGTACAACAAAAACTGTTTGTTTTAAAAAGAGGGAAGAAACATGGAAACAATGGACTCAATGATAGCATAGCCTTATATGTTTGTCTGTTTGTCAACAATAGATGTAGTGTAGCATAGCCTTTATTGTTTCTGGAACTGTCACTTCTAATACATACAGCATACCAGTTCTGCTATTGACATTGTTCAAGATAATGAATTGTGATTGTATTAAAATGTACAATATACTGACTGGATGTCTTATGTTGTTCTCCTATAGGAAGGTGGCCCGGAGCCCCCCTCCCCACCCGTACACTGAACAACAACATACCAAACTGGGAGCAAAGAATGATGGATACCAACATGTACAGTCCCATAACTATGTACATAATGTGTATTTATGGAGGCCTACAAAGAATTGTGCAAATATTACCAAATTTTGAGCCTTTAAGGCAAGTTCTTGACAAGACTGCATATTTTCAGCACTTTGGAATAATGTTGATTTGGTTATAGGGAAAGTATATATGTTTCATGTCTAACAATATGGCAAGGGGGTGTGGGGTAATGTTGAAAATGAAACAAGGTTAGAATAGGCCACACCAATTCAATTTCTTGGTTCTCATGTGTGTTTAGCAAATATTCATCATTGCAAGTAGTTGACATAAAAGAGGGCTAGCTGGAAAACCAGAATATGACTATTCACTTTCAGAAACTGTGTGTACCAGGTACATTTGTGTACTGCCTTTCCCTTCAACTGTCTCATGCTAATATTCCAGTTTAGCACTACTTAAAACATCTGAGAACCAGGACATTCAGTTGGTTTGGCCTTCTGGGGTAAAACAAGCCAGGGAGCCATGCTTTTTTGTACCCAATTTTTTTTCAGGGTAGTGAGTGCGACGAGCCCTGTACAAAATGGATGGCACCCAGGCTAGGGTTCAAAAAGATTTCCTGTGAAAATGTGTAGTCTTTTCAAACTATGTGTACTATGATGACTTGCTGGACATAAATGAATAAATAAAATGTCAGAATTCTATTTCATAATTGTATTATTTCAAAGAAATCATGATAAATTGACTTAAAATTTAAATGCTTATGTATGTATATTATCCTTGGATATGGCTGACTTCTGATTTGAATAATCATGTTCTGTGAAGTTTGAAAATCTGCTCAAGAAATTTAGATAATTTCTACTAATTGTTTTAATGGGCAACATTTTGAATGATTGTAGAGTTTAATATGCAAAAGCCTTTTCAGCAGAAGTATGAAAGGATGCATTGAAACTGTTTGGTCACCTTGAATTTGGAATGTATGCTAGAAATCTGAAATCTATAAGAAATCATATGAAAAATTATATGAAAATTTACATTTAGGTTGGAATATAAGACTCTGGACCATGGAAATTTGTAAATGCTTTTCCACATCTGAAGTGACCAATGTTATTTGTATGCTGTTGTCTAGTGGTTTGTTCCTGTTGGATACATGTATATAGCTAGGTAGAGCTGTGTACCTCACCTCAACAAATTTTAGGCACATGGATTTAGGCCCAGACCTGTACATGTACCTAAACCGGTTTGGCCAATCGTATCTGTAAGTTATGCATGTAGGCAACCATCATTTTTAGTGGTAAATTGTTGTCTTTGTATGAGCTCGAGGGTGGACATATTTTATTAATCTTCAACAGTTACAAGTTACCACCTGATCTTTCTTTAAGTGGTAAATTGTTAAAATTGTTGTTCGCCAGATGCAATTTACCTTTATCTTTAGTGTGGAAAATGGTGCCCACTACTGTTTTATTTTGTTCAGGTACTCCAGATGTTCAGTTACAGGTATTAGGTACACAGTTCTATAGCTAGGTGACTGTTGTTTACAAGATGTGCCTTGGGGGGAAGACTGTACAATCAGACTTTTTGTCAGACTTGTAAAATGTACTTTTGGGTTTTCCTCTGTAATTTGAACGGTTGTTGTAAAGCTACTACGTTGATGTAGCAATTTTCCCTTGTATTAAAAGGTTGTAGATAAATCATGTTCTGTTGTCTTGCCTCTTTCTTTTTCAGGTTACACTGTAAAATTTTAGTGCTGCAATGTTGAGGCACTGTATAGGATTTATAAGTAAATAGGGGATTTACAAGTTGGTGCATATAGGTTTGTATGTAAAATATACATGGGCATAAGCCAAGTCAACTGGTTTTCAAAGATAATATTAAGGTACACAGTTTTAGTAGCAGAGCATTCAAAATCTGGTTTATTTCTTGACATTGCAAACCAAGCAATACAGCAAAAACGGTTACATTTAAAGTCTTCATGTTAAATTCACATCTATGCACTATCTAAAAAGCCCAATGGCATCTGCTTTTAAAACCGAATATACAGTCTCATATTACATGTACATGTACTAAATAGATACATTGCACAAATGTATGTCTTGGACTACCTACTAAGTATCTGTATCCGTATAGCCAGTATAACCGCCTTTCGGCGTAACACACCAGCTTCGCAGGCATGTGGTGCGGCGGCAGTAGTGTCTTTGTTTCAGCTCACATGTGAAAGGATAAAGAGGAACAGGTAAGGTTGGAGAAAACTGATATTTAGGTCCTTGCTAGCTTGGTGCCACAATGGCCAAATGATTATACTAAGGGAATAATGTGTGCTTGCTTAGCTTCACAAAAGGAAGTTTACAAGTTCTTTTTATGCAAAAAGTAGATAACAGACATTAGTAGATAACAGACACACATTGGTACGTGGCTGACATCTGAAAATTTAAAAACACTAAATACAACGTGACAACGATATGAAACATCAAGTTACTTGATTAAATATATATAATATCTATACATAATATTGAAAATTTTGAATAGGATGATTTTTTCTGGCTGTTAATCTCTGAAGTATGATAATTGTAGCAGCATGCAGCACATTTTAAATAATACAAAAGCATTAAGAGGTTCTTGCATAATTTATGAGATCTTCCCAGTTAATGTACTGTTATTATAGAGACAACAGTGCAACAGTTAGCTGGTGTCCTTCAAGGCTTGGACTGTATAACAGAATGAAAACATCATGATCATTACATGCAGGCAGTTACATGTACATTTCACCTGAATAATATGGTCTAACAGACCTAAGATTATACAGTATCATTCAGTATAAGGAAGAAGTGGCCTTAAGGCCTAAAAGTAACTTAAAATCTAATATACAGTATTATAAGATATAACCTTGATAAAATGTGTAGAGTATGTTGTCTCATATATATAGGCAAAGTAGAGAGCTGTCCTGAAGGTAAAATGGTCCCAACCTGCTAATGGTGTCTTCTTTGGTCAAGTTTCTGCACACTTTATACCTTTTCTAAGGTCTACCTAATATCTAAGATACCCTACAGATACTGAGCTCTCAAAAAAAAAATTTCTGGAGTTTGAAAAAAAATATGATCTTGTCTCAGCATCAAATCCACAAATTTAAACCTTTCACTGAATGGTACAGTCCGATCCTTTGGAAGGTGCCACTTGCGGCATGGGGGGGAGCAGGTGTGGGGGCGGCTCGTGGTACGTTCCGTCCAGGTAAATCCTGAGGATGTTCAGGTAGATCTCGCCGTGATTGGCCGAGTCGTACGCCATGGACTCTTCCGCGTACGCGGCCGGCGGTCGGGACGACCACGCTCCCATGATCTTGATGGGGACTGTTTCTGCGAAGCTCACGTTGGCTCCTGTTGGGTCAAAAAATTGATTTATAATGTTGCATATAGCATTTAAAAACCTATCCAGTTGCTCAAGTATTTGTTTTCTTGTTTATCGCATATAACCTGGTTGTATAACCTTTATTGGCATATAAAATATCATTGTTTGAGATATTGAATCATGGCCCTCCAGACCTTGACTCAAGCACCCTAAACACTGAACGCTTTCTAAACTTGCATTACTTGAGTTGCTTTTAGTCCTATTTTACAGTGTCCTTTTCTTGGGCACAATATTGGGACCTGTTTGAGATGAGAACTCAGGGCGTCTATCTGACAAAGAGGACCCATTTCTAACCCCTGCTTCCCCATAGCTTAGGTTCTCAGTTGATGGTTCTGACTTAGGAGAAGAGATGCTCCTATGGTCATGTATGATTATGAGCCACCCTTCATAGATGCCAGGTATTATGATGGCAACACCAGGGCTCTTCTTTTAATTTGATATTTTGTAAAAATGCCACTACGGTCTATATAATAAAAAGTTATTACTTACCTGCAGCATTGAGCCAAGCCAGCGTGCGCTGCATCGTCTGCCCCACGGACTCAAACATATAGGGAAGCTAATACCACCCTAGCCACCAGGATGCATATTACAATGTGTACTTAGTCTTACCTGCAGCGTTGAGCCAGGCCAGCGCGCGCTGCATCGTCTGCCCCACGGTTTCAAACTGCGGGAAGCTCATCATGCCCCCGTGCGAGATCTGCGCAGGGACGAAGGTCTTGATGCTGAGCTGAACCGGGCGGGGCGGCGCAACCGCACCCTGGAGAGGCTTCAGGAAGATCAGGCGCATGATGCGGACGTACATGGTGGCCATGTTTCCCGCGTCGACAAACGAGGACCGCTGACTGTCAATGGTCATCTGACCTGAAATTAGGACATGAAAATAATGGATTAAACAGATCGAAGAATAATGGTGATTAAACTGCCTTGAAGAAAAAGGCATTATGCCAATTAAGTTAACATAGTAAAGAAATTATTTTGTACATGATATAATGGTCATTTTAATGCTACTCAAATTCAATGTTTGTATATAGCACTGTGGCAGAATGTATTGTTTAAGGTCATAATACACACATATTTAAAGATGACATCCTGTGTTTAGTTTTCAATGTTGTATCTGAAAAGATATTGTCTGGAACAGGCAAAAATCTGATGCAAAGCTGATAATACAATTCGGTCTAACAAAACTGTAAAAAAATCTGGGTTATGTGCAAGTGTAGTACATTCTGCTGACTTGCTATTAGTAAGTAAAACCTACCCGACCACCCCTTCCTGCTGATCTTGATGTGCAGGGTCTGTGCGTTTGCGAGTCGGCAGCCCTGCAGGCTCCCGTTGGCCCAGGCACACGCCCGGGCTGCCACCTGGCTGTAAGGCTCAAACTGTGGCCAGTCAAACAGGCCAGACGGCACGTGGGTGCACCCGGGCACAAAGTCTCCAGTTCCTGTGGTAACAAATAAAAATTGTCAAAAATTTAAAAAAGGGAAAGAAAAACATTAGGCAGCAATCAACAAGAGAATATTTGATCGAGTCTTTAAGCCCCAATTGTGTGCACACACACAGACACACAGACACACACACACACACAGTGTACTTGAAGACTGCCATGCACAATCTTATAAAAAGCCTGTGTTTTCAAGGCTAAAACGGTGTGCGTGCATCCCTCATGGATTACTGTTGCTACATTCTTCCTTTTTGGTCTGATTTCTACTACTTATTTAACCTGCAAAGGAGTACTAGTCTGGTGGAGAGTACATGTTATTTAGCTATGATGACTGGCAGTGCTAGGGTACCCTGTGAGAGAGTTGACCTTACCTATCTCCTCATAAGCGGGTGGTCCGTTGACGTAGAAGACGCGGATGATGAAGAGAAAGAGTTTCCGGTAGTTCCCGTCTTCGTACCAGAAGGACTTGTCCGGATCGATGGTCGTACCGGACCACGCCCCACGAACCTTCACGTCCTGTGTCTCCACTGTCAGGATCTTTCCTGTGGGGAAGATGAAGATGAAAGGAGTCTTCTGCCACACAAACTTATTTTACTGGTCTCAGAAATGTTTGAAAGGATGATTTAAATAAGACATGTAAGAGGTGAAATGAAGAAAAGAAAGGCTGGAAGGAGAAGTTGAATTGACTTTAAAAATAATCTATTTGAATGTATACTATATGAATCTCTGAATCTGTGTGCACCATTGTACAGAAAGTTGACATTTTGAATTAAACATTACGTTTTTGCATCCCATTCTCTCTTGCAGATAGAGCGATATATAGTCATATAAAAAGATACCAGCACAAAAAATTAGCCAGAGAAAAAAAACTGTCGTCAAAATTTAAACTAAACCTCTGAATTGAGTCAGTATGAAAATCCCAGAACCATCAAATCAAATTGTTCCAGCCTTACCAGGGAGTGGGTTCTGTCTCATCATCAGGTTGATTTTGTTGACTGTTTCTCCGAACGACTCGAACTGTGGGTACCCAAACAGGGAGGGTGCCTGGATACAGCCCGGCACGTAGTTAATGTAGCGAATCTGCTGCGGGGGGACGGACGGGTCCATCTTCTGTCCAAACCACAACCTGGAGGCGGAACAATATCATAATATATTATGGTCATACACACATTACATAGTAGTAAAACATTAATCAAGCAACTGGATATTAAGTTCTCTGACAAACATACACCTCCATCAACCAAGGATTGAGATGTTCAAAAACTCGACTTCCCTAGAAGTAGATCTAATTGGTAGAGTGCAACTTGCTGCCACCATGTACAGTAGGGGTATCATCACAAGATACCTTGATATGTAACATGACATTCAGGTGATATAACCAGCTACTAGTATATATACTAATGCCCCATATGCTTACGAAGCTCGCTGGTGTGTAACATTGATGGGTAGCTTATGATCTGGCAGATACAGATGGATGTTTCAGAAATTACATATATCCAATATCTTTCATCAGTGACTGAGAATGACTTTAAGTTACTAAATCTCTTTATGCTAAGTACTGTAGTTGAAAACAACTGTTCAGCAACCTATTACATTACCCAAACTGGATGGCGAGTCACGACAGATACTTATAAGACATTGTGCTTTATATCTTATCTATTGCAAAAAGTGTGTGTACCTCAGTCCACGGACGTAGCAGCTTCTCACTTTTCCTGACTCGTAGAACAGTGACCGGTCAGGGTTCACGACCCCGCCGGAGCTCCCCAGGTGATACTCGAACTTGACCTCCAGACTCTCGCAGGTTTTGACCTCCATGGTCGGGTTCTGCTGGAGCCACTGGTTGGCTCGGGTTACCAGGACACTGGACAGGAACAAGTCAGATTAGTGAAGGTATACCTTTGCAAAGCATGTTTACCTTCACACATTGGTCTGCTCTGTTAATTCTTACTCAAATACATTTATAGATATGGCCAGACAGGAGTCTAAATCCCTCCTGCTACAAGATTGCAACATTGTGTAACCCAACACCAGTTACCATGGTGACAGACGTCAACAAATCAGGTCATTGGCCCGGTCAGAGGGTTAGCTTTTGGAGAAGAGGAAGAGGAAACTGAGCAAAAAAACTGACACACAGACAGATCAAAAACAATTTTTACTTACATCATGCTTCAGAATGACCTCTACAGACACAAACATATTTCACGCTTCTTGTAGAAAAGTAGAAAAAGAAAAATGCGATAAGAGAACTTTAACTTACTCGAATCTCTCGAACTGTGGATAGGAGAAGCTGAGGAAGCCCGAGCTGCCAGTTCCTGAAATCTGGCTTGGCATAAAGTCAACATACGACAGCCTGAAGACCGACTGCTGCTGGGGGGGTGCCGCACCCGGGTACCCCCCTGCCTGAGGAGGGGGTTCTGCTGCTGGGTACCCCCCTGCTTGGGGAGGGGGCTGTCCTGGCATCTGGGGGGTCGGCATGGGCATACCCTGAGGTGGCGGCTGCCCGGTTGCCTGGCTGTAGGAAGGAGGGGGGGCACTGGCCTGGTTGTATGACATGGTGCCTGGATTCTGTTTCCTGGAATCGATACGATGTACTTTGAAAATCACATTAATGTGAGTGGCAACGTCAACTGCTGTGTCTATGCGTGCATGAGTGTGTCTGAGTGTGTGTGTCTTACAGTGTGAAAATGTCATTAGCAAATAAGATCAAGGAGAAATTCTGGGCATAATTGCCCATCTATTGATAGATTGACCTGTCCAGCCCCCAAATTCAGTCATATAAGTAGTTAATGCAGTGACTCAGTATCGCTAGGTGAGCGTCAAAGAGGGCGAACTCAGATTTCACAGGTGACTAACTTTAGATATAATTTGGATCACTGAGTCAGGGATAAATTTTGCCCAGGGTACTGGGCAAAGTTGTCATCATGTTTCCTCAGATACTGCATTCATAATTCATAATGGCAAAATGGTTGACTTCAACAACGAAGTTATACACTTCTCAGTGTATAAAGAAGATGGTGAGCTCGGGGCCCAGCTTAGCAACATTGAACGAGCCACTCAGTCACTGTGTTAAACGCTGAGTCATACAACATCTTTACGACACTGTCTGCAAATTCTGTACAGTTGTGGACGCGTGCGCCTACGATATAATTTGCGAAAACGCCCTTAACTTTTGTAACACCTCCAACAGTTGGGATGATAAATAAACCATGATGGATACGAACACATGTCTCGTTGCCTCAGAAACGATAGAATGCCGTCAACACTCACCTGTAGCGACGTACAACACCTGTGACGTTATCCCGTACCTGTACGTGGCCGTCCGGACGTCAGCTAACCCAACAAGTGAGCCGCGAACTATGCGTAAACACGACGCTTTTACTTCCGGGTCAAGCACAGCACAATTCGGAGCCTTCCGACAGCCCCGCCCCTAAATATATCATATCAGGAATAGCCCTTCAAATACCAACATTATTCTAACGTTACCTTATACAAAATGAAAATCTACAAACTAACCATTGAACTATAGTGTTCCGGGTTTGAGTAATCGGCCAAATGACATTTAGATAAAAGAAAAATATTAAAGTTCAGTCCAATTTGTAATTGCTTTTATATTTTAGTTACAATATGTGACTATTCATCTACAGAGCATTACTAAAAATCGGTAAAAACATACCCCTCTGGACAACATTGGAGGCCTTTTATTTATTAAATTGGCCAAATAGAGAGATATAACACGCCGAGGGAGTTTAGCCATCCAGTTTACAGTGGGCCGGCAAACTGTAAACTGGATGGCTAAACTCCCTCGGCGTGTTATCTCTCTATTTGGCCAATTTCTACTATTTCCAGCCACGCCCTCAAGCCTAACATTTACAGCCTTGTTTATGTGCTACACAGATTGTTCAGAGCTTCCACGTGGACTGGTCGGGAGAAGACATGAAGATGGAGAACAGAATTATCAACGCACCGGATAGGGACAGCTTCGTGTTCCGTGAGAGGGTTTGAGCTGTATGAAATCTGATATTTAAGCATACTTTTTTGACGTTACACAGTTAATTACCTCGGCTCCATGAAAAATGAAGGTATTGTTTTTGGTGTGTCTGTCTGTATGTATGTCTGTCTGTGTGTGTCTGTCTGTCTGTCTGTCTGTGTGTGTGTGTGTGTTTCCGCAACTTTGTGGTCAGCATAACTTCAACTTTATGGATTATGATGATATTTGGTATGTTGGTAAGTATTAGGAAGACAAACGTCAAGGTCAAATATGGGCCTCCTGGTGGATGACCTTGGTACTGCAGCAGAACTTCCGGTTTTTGTATCTTTTGTCCTGAACATGCTATGGTCTTGATGTTTTGGTGACAGGTTGCTTTTCCTGTCAGGAATAAGTGGTGTAAGTTTGGTCCCCCTAGCAGCTTGTTCTGAAACTGCAGGGCACTTTCTGGCGAAATGTTTAAAAGCCAATAAGTCCAGTTAGGAACAACATATTTTCATAATTTTTGGTGTGTAGGTAGCTGAGAGAGAGATGTACATGATTAAATGCAAATTATGCAAATGAGGACTTTATTTGCATAATTAATGAGGAAATTATATAATTAAAGTGTTCTACATTATACTACTTTCATACATGTAATGTATGTAACCTATTGGCAGTCAGAACATCAGGCAGATACTAATTATGCAAATGATGACATAATTTGCATAATTTATGCAAAAATTCTACGATTTCTTGATGGTGAATGATGGGAATGTCATACTTGGGACATCTGTAACTTAATCAAAAGTTAACATACATCATGATGCATATATCATGTCAATGCAGAGGTAATTTGCATAATTAAAGAAGAAATTTACATTTACATATTAAGCCCATATTTCATGGAGGTATGATATCTCGGAATTCTTGTTATTTTATGATGCCTGCACACACACACACACACGCACACACACACGCGTGCTCTCTCTCTCTCTCTCTCTCTCTCACACACACACACATGCACGCTCACACACACACGCACACAAACATACACGCACGCTCACACACACGCACACATGCATACACACACACACACACACGTGTATTTATATTTTAAATTAGATGATTCACAGACATTAGTTGAAAATAAAACCGTCCTGGTTTCAATGAGACAATACAAGGGAATGATGTAATAAAGTCGCACCGTTTTTACAAGCATATCATGAATTGTATTGAATTGCATAGATATATTGTATTGAATTTCGTATATATTGACCTCATATATTTTGACACGCACTGATCTAATACAAATACTAATACAAATGTATTTTGGTTCCATGAATTGGTTATAACGTGGATCTTATGAATAAAAGTTTTAATTTAACACTAATAACAAGAAGTCAGAGATTTTAGACTGAGAAGTATTTTGGGGTTTTGGAACCTTCAACCTCCTGTCATTCTGCGTGTCAATCTTCCCTCAACCACCTGTTGTCAATGTACTAGACAGTTCTCTTTCTGTACAAACATACGCACACAAACACACAACGTAGCGACCAAAAACAAAGAAGTAATAAGAAAGAAGAGCCTGATACTGTGATATATACAATATAGGCTGGCCATGTGACTAATCTAAATCAACATCTTTCATGTACTGCATTTAGTTGTTTCTCTCTACAATAAAGTTTGCGGCAGCTTTTTAAGTAATAGTTAAGAGAGGGGTCTTTTTTATAAAGTTGACATTATGTTAGGAAGGATGGACTAGAATTTCGTCTCGGAGACTTGCCAAGGATGTACATGCCCTGTTCGTGTGGTGTGATATGTGACCAGGGCTTATGTGAGTCACCGAACACATGTTGTGGTGCGTGACACACTATGCACACACTATGTACACAGTATCAAATTGGCCAGGCAGTATCCATTGGTCAGAGAGGGTCCAACGCACCACCCAAGGCTCTCTGGCCAATCATACTGCCTGGCCAATTTGATGCTGTCTTTTGCCACCCTAGGATTACCCCCACAGTTACGTGACGTTTTGTGGCACCCCAGTGGCTTGTAGCAGTTGTTGCAGTCTGCTTTGGTGCGTAGCTTGAGCCTGGTGCCTCATCGGCGCGTACCCTGAGCGGAGGAGCCGGCAGCAGCAGAACTGGTAGTCGACGTGAAACCGTCGGCTCCACGGCGTCTGTCCGAACTCCAGCCGCGCCGACTGGTTGTCCACCTTGTCCCCTCTGGGCTAGCCTGACTAAATCGCGCTCCTGGCGGCCGCCGCCCTAGGTTGGGGTCATTAACCTCCAGCCGAGAGCTTGTGTATACACAGGCTACCCTCTGGGCTAAATACACTAGAAAAGTACATACGGCTTCCTCTCGCTTCTTGTAACTTCATAAATTACTCTTCAAGCAAATGTTTAGGTTTCAGTATATTTGATACTGCATGCTTGGAGGTTACTAGTATGTATAAATGTCCTACCAACACATTACGCCAAGGAGGTTATTTTAAACCGCCTTGGTTACGTTTTGTGGCACCTCTCTTTCTTCTAGTTGTTGCAGTCTACTTTGGTGCATAACTTGAGCCTGGTGTCTCATTGGCGCGTACCCTGAGCGGAGGAGCCGGCAGAACTGGTAGTCGACGTGAAACCGCCGGCTCCACGGCGTCTGCCCGAACTCCAGCCGCGCGGACTGGTTGTCGCTCCGGATCCGTTGCCCGCCGGGGTGACAGAATTCAAACGTCCGCTCGTGCATGTCCCGGAAAGTCTGTACCTGCATGGAGAGAGCTTTGGTTATTTATCCCATTTATTTACTACCAAAATGAAATTGTCCTGGAAAAGCGTGCAAACTGCACTGACATGTGCTCAAGATCGCAAACAAACAATAACGCATTTTTACCGGATTATGAATTCATCAAGTCTATCATCTATATTTTCCTTCTAGTATATATGGCCCGTTGGAGGAAGATCGTTTGCTTTTTATATATGGCCCGTCGGAGGAAGATCGTTTGCTTTTTATATACGGGCCATATATAAAAGGCAAACGATCTTCCACCATCAACCTCTGCTTGGAGAGTAGCTAAAATCCGAAGAACCCGAACCTCCGCCCAGAAGTCTCTCCCTTCTCTGTTGATTTTCTGCCAGAGAGACGTGTTGAAGTGGCGGTACAGGATGTAGTCTGCCCGGCTCCACTTCTCGTGCTGCTGTCTGAGCTTCGGGGTGGCGGTCACGTCTTTCAGGTCATAGCTGCAGCCAAAGATATTTGAAATAAAAAAAAAGCTTCTGTTCTATGGATGATGAAGTGTGTGTGTGTGTGTGTGTGTGTTTCTGTGTGTGTGTGTGTGTGTGTGTGTGTGTGTGTGTGTGTGTATCTGTATAGCCGGTATAGCCGTCCTTCGGCGTAACACAACAGCTTCTGTATCTGTATAGTCGGTATAATCGCCCTTCAGCATAACACACCAGCTTCTGTATCTGTATAGTCGGTATAACCACCCTTCGGCGTAACACACCAGCTTCTGTATCTGTATAGTCGGTATAACCGCCTTTTGGCGTACATGTAACACACCAGCTTCGCAGGCACGCGGCGCGGCGGCAGCTAGATATAT